ATTACTACCCATTGTGCAACTTTGATTGATAATATTTTTTACAAATGACATAGATAATACAGTAAGTGGACTATTAATAAATGACATCAGTGACCACTTACCAGTTTTTACAGTTTACAATAGCAATTACACATCTAAAAAAGACAATAAACCTATATTTAGAAGGGTGAGAACAGACGAGTCTATGGTTGCATTTAAAGATGATCTGCTTTCACAAGACTGGGAATTAATATATAAGGAAAAAGAGATGGATAAAGTATAGGGTGAATTCCTAAGAATATTTCAATCATTATATGATAAAAATTGTCCGATAAAAACATATGGTAGAAAACAAAAATATAGTGATAGACCGTGGATTTCAAAAGGATTACAAAATGCCTGTAAAAAGAAAAATACACTGTATAGAGAATTTATTAAACACCGAACTATAGAAGCTGAAAATAAATGTAAGAAATATAAGAATAAGTTAATTATGATTATGAGAACTTGTAAGAAAGAATACTATAGGAAACTATTAGATAATAATACAAATAATATGAAGGGTATATGGAATATACTGAACAGTATTATAAGCAGTCTAATTATCCCCAGTATTTCATTGATAATAAAAAAAAGATCAATAATATGGAGGAGGTGGTCAATAACTTTAATAAATATTTTGCAAATGTTGGACCAGATTTAGCTGGAAAAATTCCTCAGCCACAGATAAGCCATATCAGTTGTAATGATCTTTTTGAAAGAAATCAATGTTCTTCAATGTTTTTAAAAGCAGTAGAATAAAAAGAAATCATAGACATTGTTAAAAAATGCAAAACTAAAGTATCCACTGATTGCAACGAAATAGATATGAAGATAGTAAAAGATGTAAGTGAGGGGATCGCAACACCGTTAACTCACATTTTTAATTTGTCATTCCAGACTGGTCAATTTCCAACAAAAATGAAAATAGCAAAAGTCTTACCTCTGTACAAAACTGGAGATAAACACCACTTCACAAATTACAGGCCTGTCTCTTTACTGCCACAATTTTCGAAAATTTTAGAAAAACTTTTCAATGACAGATTGGATCATTTTATAGATAAACACAAACTGCTTACTGACAGCCAGTATGGATTCAGAAAAAATAGGTCAACATCTCTAGCTTTAACTGAACTCATTGAAGAAATTACAAATACGATTGACCAAAAAATATTTGGAGTTGGGGTATTCATTGATTTGAAAAAAGCGTTTGATACAATTAATCATGAAATACTAATCAGTAAATTGGAACGACTTGGGATCAGGGGGATAGTGCTGAATTGGTTAAGCAGTTATTTAAAAGACAGGAAACAATTTGTGAAAATGGGTGAATACACATCTGATTGTTTGGACATTGCGTGTGGGGTCCCCCAGGGGTCAGTGTTGGGACCTAAATTATTCATTCTCTACATTAACGATATATGTAAAGTATCTGAATTACTCAAATTTGTATTATTTGCTGATGATACAATCATCCTTAGTTCTGTCACAATTTACAGCAACTCCTGGACTTAATCACTGCAGAATTCAGAAAAATTAAACAGTGGTTTGATACAAATAAATTATCATTAAATTTGAGTCAAACTAAATTCATGACATTTGGCAATTGTAAATTTAGTAATCAAGTTCAGTTACAGATCGATGGTGTTAACATAGAAAGAGTATATGAAATGAAATTTCTTGGAGTGATTATAGACGACAAGATTTGCTGGAAATCTCACATAAAACACATTCAAACAAAATTGTCAAGAAGTATTTCAGTACTGGCTAAAGTTAAGTACATTCTGGATTACAGATCACTCCACATTTTGTATTGTTCACTGGTGTTACCGTATTTAAATTACTGTGTAGAGGTTTGGGGCAACACATATCAACATTCATTGCAATCGTTATTTATACTTCAAAAAAGAGCAATGAGAATAATTCATAACACTGGATATTTGGATCACACCAACTCATTATTTTTACAGTCAAAAGTAGTCAAATTATTTGATTTAGTTGAATTTCAAACAGCGGTCATTATGTTCAAGGCTAGAAACAATTTATTGCCTGGCAATATACTGAAAAGGTTTTTTGAAAGAGAAGGAGGCTACAATTTAAGGGGAAAGTCGAATTTTAAAACTCCCACTTTTCGAACTACTAGGACAAGTTTTTGTTTATCTGTTAGTGGTGTTAAATTATGGAACAAACTAAATAATGAATTAAAGCAATGTCCAAACTTATTCCATTTTTAAAAGATGTTCAAAGAAACTATATTCCAGAGGTATAGAGAAACTCAGTGCTAATAATAAACTGTGCTAGCTAGGCCTATATTGAATCATTGGTAGTATGTATAAATATTGTCGTGTTTGTGTACTATTAGTATGTGATTAGAACAATTTGAATATATTTTCTCATTGTTTATAGATTTATTATCTCCGCAGATTTATTATTTTGTAGTTATCTCGTTAAATATGGTAGTAATGATATAGGGGTAGGAGTATATAAGTTTTACTTCTTCCTACCTCCTTTTGTGCATGTAAATAGAAGTCTTTAAGTTTTTGAAAGTATGGAGTTTTTTACTTTGTTGTTCATTTGTTTTGTTTTTCTATTATTAGTTTTTTTGATTGATTTTAATTTTTTCTTATTTACATGTTCAAATAAATAAATAAATACAATACAAATACAATACACATAAAACTTAGATTATTTGTTCATTCAACACAAATCCCCTGTTCAATATGACACAACTTAACATCACAGTATTAATATTTCAAAAGGCAATTCACACATTACATTTCAAATGAGTGTCTATTCATTTCCTTACAGTGATCTAACTATCAGCTGATACAACTGCTCAAAATGATAAGTAACTGTTGCATTACTCTTAATGCATAAAACAGACACACAATCTTCCATGTTTACAGTAAATCATGACAGTTTCAAGATATCGAGATTCATTGTCACCAATCAGCGTGGAGCATGAACCAATTAGACTACAATATCCATGGATGTAGCCTACGTAATATTTAATATTTTTGCTATGATTCCAATAAACCTGTGTTGTAATTGTACTGTAGTGTTTTGCATCAATATATTACACACTTTGTTCAGTGATTCCACTATGTGTGTATTCTCTCTACGACTGCAGTGCGTTCACAGAGATGTGTTTACTGTACATGTAGACCATAATGAAACCTGGATCACCTATTGTGTTCTACAATATTTAATGATTGTACGAACAATGACAGTGAAACTATCGGTTGTGTGTGTGTGTGATCTATAGTTGTGTTTCAATGGTATTTCACAGTCAATTTTTTTTTGAACCAATGATTGTGCAAGTGCAAGATTTCTTTAAAGATGTGAATGCACAATGCAATGTTTTGAACATTAGACAGCCTGGGTTACAAGTGATAACCGCTGTGAGTTTTGTGTCCAGAGTTTTGAAAAATTACATCAAGGTTCTGAAAATAGTAGCAAAGTGATTGTAAAAAACTGTAATCGATCAGTTTGACTATTTGTCAACTTTAAAAGTTAAACCTTCCCACGTGACACTAAAAGTATCACGTGTAGTTTGTGTGTGTGTGTGTGTGTGTGAGAGAGAGAGAGAGAGTGTAACTAAAACAGAAAAATAATAAATATTAAGACTTTTTTTAAAACTAATAAATATGACAAAAACACAAAACTTAAAATAGTGAGTGTATGAGTATGAGTGAGTTAGTGTATTTGTGTGTGTGTGTGTGTTTGTATGTGTGCGTTTGTGTGAGTGTGTGTGTGTGTGTGTGTATATGTGTGTGTGTGTTTGTGAGTGAGTGAGTGAGAGTGTGTGTGTGTGTGTGTGTGTGTGTGTGTGTGTGTGTGTGTGTGTGTGTGTGTGTGTGTGTGTGTGTGTGTGTGTGTGTGTGTGTGTGTGTGTGTGTGTGTGTGTTTGTTTTTGTGATATATGAGGACACAAATGTGTATAATGACATGCATATTACACTGGTATTACAACTTACACGTGATATATGAGGACATTGCATGAGTCCTCATATTTCAAATAGCTTAAAAAACATAAAAAACAATGTTTTTTTTTAAATGTAAAAATGCAGCATGTCTCCAGTGATGGGTAGGTTTAGGGATAGGGGCAGTGTGTGTGTGTGTGTGTATATGTGTGTGTGTGTTTGTGAGTGAGTGAGTGAGAGTGTGTGTGTGTGTGTGTGTGTGTGTGTGTGTGTGTGTGTGTGTGTGTGTGTGTGTGTGTGTGTGTGTGTGTGTGTGTGTGTGTGTGTGTTTGTTTTTGTGATATATGAGGACACAAATGTGTATAATGACATGCATATTACACTGGTATTACAACTTACACGTGATATATGAGGACATTGCATGAGTCCTCATATTTCAAATAGCTTAAAAAACATAAAAAACAATGTTTTTTTTTAAATGTAAAAATGCAGCATGTCTCCAGTGATGGGCAGGTTTAGGGATAGGGGCAGTGTGTGTGTGTGTGTGTGTGATGGGCAGGTTTAGGGATAGGGGCAGTGTAGGGGGATAGAATATACAGTTTGTCCAGTATAAAAATCATTACGCCTATGGAATGTCCTCATATATCACAAAAACAAAGCTGTGTGTGTGTGTGTGTGTGTGTGTGTGTGTGTGTGTGTGTGTGTGTGTGTGTGTGTGTGTGTGTGTGTGTTTGAGTGTGTGTGTTTGAGTGTGTGTGTTTGAGTGAGCGAGTGTGTGTGTGTGGGAATGTTGGGAAGCCTGATGGGAAGGCATATGGTCTCCTCATGAGGGACTTCTCGTCCAGATGGCGTGTGTATGCATGTGTGTGTCTGTGTGTGTGTGTGTGTGTGTTGTGGTGATACAGTCACATATGCAGTATCTCACAACACACAGAAATGCCGAAGTGCAAAATAATCTCGAGTAACCGCACACAATCAGACCCGCTCTGGACCCGGGTTCATTAGAGAGTCGAGATCAGAATAGCATTAGTTTTGGACCTGCAGACATCTTTCACATTGAAACACGGGAGTGTATCAGGAGAAGGTGAAACACACCTCATCACATTGAAACACGGGAGTGTATCTGATCCTCCAGGATGGTTGTTTCGCGGGTCTCACTGCTCGCTGGGCTCCTGTGTGTGACGGGCTTCAGGGTCCGGGGCCAGAACGACACCGAGCCCCTCGTGCTGGAGGGAAAGTGTTTAGTGGTGTGCGACTCCACTCCCACCTCGGAGCCGGCCGGGAACGCCCTGGGAATGTCGGTGCGTTCGGGAAGCGGACGGGTCGCCTTCTCCGCCGTCAGGAACAACAACCACGAGCCGTCGGAGATGAGCAACCGGACCATGACCATATACTTCGACCAGGTAGAGGGAGCGCCAGTGCGAGATCGAGGCTTAGCCGCTTACCAGCAGTGCATTTAACTGTGGAAATACTGGTCGTTCGGTACTAAGTCAATACTAAAGATAGTAAACCATTAGTTAGTAGTTATTGTATTTTTTTGACTGTAGTTACTAAGGATGTAAAAATGACTCGTACTTTAATACTAAGTCAATCATATAGATAGTAAACCATTAGTTAGTAGTCCTTCAGTCATTTTTTTTAACTGTAGTTCCTATAGGGATGTAAAAATGACTCGTACTTTGATACTAAGTTAATATTAGGGCTGCACGATTAATCGCAATTTCCATGTAATCACACTTGAACCGATTTGTATTTTAGCGATTTTGTAATCGCAAAGTCTGTGATTGTTCGTAATGCGCAGCTTGAGTCGCTTATAACGTGCATTTGAAAAAGCAACTGTACTTCGACCAGGTATAATGAACATGAGATTGATGCTGTAGCCGTTTTATCAGCAGTGCATGAAGCAACACATGTGTGTGTGTGTGTGTGTCCCGTCGAAGGTTCTGGTGAACATCGGGAGTCATTTCGATCCGGCACGGAGTGTTTTCCTGGCTCCGAGAAAAGGAGTGTACAGCTTCAGTTTCAACGTGGTCAAAGTCTACAACAGACAAACTATACAGGTGAAGGTGATCATTCAACATTTAACATTTCAGTTGAAGGAACTTCATTTTTATGTCCTTTTCTAGTCATGTCAGCTTTATTTCTACGGCTGGTTTACACAATACAGATTGTTTCAAAGCGATAAATAAGAAAATAACAGTTACTCATGTAAAATTCCAAAAGCTTGGACGCATCTACTTATTCTTTATTATGACTTTTTTTGCAAAATAGTAGGCTAAGTCAAGTCAAGTCCCAATTATTTATATTGCGACCTAACCAATACAGATTATTGTAAAATTATTGTAAAAAGCTCTACGGAAGACAAGAGTGTTGTTATTCAACTCAATACGTTTTAATGATGGAAAGTTAATGCAAAACTTGCATGAATGTGCACAAGTTTTATTTAACTGAATCACGCACACAACTAATCTAAACAAACACATACACACAAATCACACGGGTAAAAACGGAAACAGAATCAGAGGAATGAAGCAATGAAATGAGTAATTTAACCATACCAATCCATCAGTGAACAAGGGGTCTACCGCTGATACCAAACCTCGGTTTAGTCTGTTAAACGTACGAGACTTGCGATGCCTGACACTGAACGAGACTCAGGAGAAAGTCAAGGGTGTTGAAGTTGCAATCAATTTCTTCTGCATTAAACGAAGAAATTATGAAATTATGATGTTAGTTTGACTGTCATGATCAAGGAAATTACAATGTGAGGACTATTTTGATAGAAAGCATGGTATAGATAAGGTTATATCATAAAGCAATAAAACACAATACAATACAAAAGACACTATAAGCCGGTAATAATCATACACACAATCAGTGGTGGTAAGTAACGAAGTAAAAATACTTCGTTACTTTACTTAAGTATTTTTTTGGGGGGATCTGTACTTTACTTGAGTGTGTTTTATTTGCATCTACTTTCACTCTCACTACAATATTAAAGACAAAGTTTACTTTTTACTTTTTTCCCCATGCCCGCTCCAAGTATTTATTACTGGCTTTCCAAACCAATGAAAAACTTGGTTTTCTTTTGAATGGTGAGTTGACGTTAAAGCAACACTAAAGAAGATTTTGTACCTTAAAATAATGTTTCCAAAATCGTGTTCGTAACAGCGTGAAAGGCACTTTTGCCTTTGCTAACAAATTCTTAATTGCACTATCTAATCTTATCATTTGTTCAAATAAAACATTGCATATCACTCCCAAAACAATTGATCTGCTTAATTATTTATATACAGTTAATTTGAATATTTACTTTTTACTATCGGTAAAGGACTCATTTCTGAAATACATAACTCAGACAGTCTCCTCTGATGACAGATCACTGTAAACTGTAATGTGGACTCGTGCACTTTCTGTAAAGCTGCTTTGAAATGATGTGTATTGTGAAAAGCGCGATAGCCTACAAATAAACGTGAATTGAATCGACAGTATTGAATTTTTTAGATATTTCGATATGGTATTACTGTAGAAATGTAGCAAATTTGACCAGTTTTGAAGAGTATATAAACGTGCAAATTGTCCTGTAGGTACATTGAGTTTAAGTGGGGGAAAATGTCGTCACTGAACGTATTTTGTGTCAAAGCAATGATAGTTTAGCTCACATAGACTGATGCTGTGATCTCGGTGTCCTAGCGATTGTAAAACAACATAACAGTATCAGTATCATTAAAAGTCCTGCTGTCCGCCAGGTGAGTCTGGTGCTGAACGGCTGGCCGGTGTTCTCCGCGTTCGCCGGCGATCAGGACGTGACGCGCGAGGCGGCGACCAACGCCGGTCTGGTGAACATGGAGAGAGGAGATAAAGCCTCGCTCAAACTGGAGAGAGGAAACCTGATGGGCGGATGGAAGTACTCCACCTTCTCGGGGTTCCTCGTGTTCCCCCTGTAGAAACAGAAGTGTGTGTGGAAAACAGAGACATTGATAGAAAGAACACATTCAGCACAACGTTCACAAGTTCCTCGGCAACCTTATGAGTGAACCTGCTTCTTAAAAGAGTACTTCATTTCAGAAATAACATTTCCTGATAATTTATTCACCACCACATCTTCCTAGATCTTCATGTCTTTCTTTCTTCAGTTGAAAAGAAATGAAGGTTTTTGAGGAAAACACTCCAGGGTTTTTCTCCATATAGTGTCTTCAATGGGGTCCAACGGGTCGAAGGTCCAGATGTGAGTTTCAGTGCAGCTTCAAAGTCTCGACACGATCCAGCCGAGGAATAAGAGTCTCGTCTAGACAAACCAGCGGCCATTTTCTAACAAAATAAACATTTATATACGTTTTAACCACAAAGGCTCATCTTGGACCCCATTGAAGTCACTATATGGAGAAAAACCCTGGAATGTTTTCCTCAAAAACCTTAATTTCTTTTCATCTGAAGAAAGAAAGACTTGGATGACGTGCGGGAGAGAAAATTATCAGGAAATTTCTATTTTGAAGTGAACTAATCCTACATGATTAATGTGGAATATACAGGTGAAACTAGAAAAATTTGAATCTCGTGAAAAGGTTAATTTATTTCAGTAATTCAACTTAAAAGGTGACACTAATATATTATATAGACTCATTACATGCAAAGTGAGATATTTCAAGCATTTATTTGTTATAATTTTGATGATTATGGATTACAGTTTATGAAAACCCCAAATTCAAAATAAGAATATTGTGAAAAGGTTTTCATAGCTGTGAGCTATAATCATCAAAATTATAACAAATAAAGGCTTGAAATATCTCACTTTGCATGTAATAAGTCTATATAATATATTAGTGTCACCTTTTAAGTTGAATTACTGAAATAAATGAACTTTTGCATGATATTCAAATTTTTCTAGTTTCACCTGTATATACATTCTTACATATAGCCCCTTTAACACGTCACATTGCACTTTCAGGGTACAAAATGGGATACAAAACTGCTTGTTTTTCATGAATGTGCTGATCATCAACCTCAGGACGTCAAGCTCAATATGACACAAGCTCTTCTGATGTCATTTTGCATGTGGTTTGTATCCTTAAAATTTAGGATACATGATTTCTGTCGTTTTTAAACAATTAATATTAAAGACTCAAATACAAAATGTCTCATTTAAAAAAACAAAAAAACACTTGGTTGGTAGGGCGAACAAGGACACAAAAAATGTCTATGAAATACTGTGTTTTTGGTAATTAAATTGAATAATTACAAATATTTTAAATATCAGTTCAAAGGATTGTATCACAAGATGGCAGTGATTCACCAAAAGTCACCAATTTAAGGAAGGCATACAGACATTTTGTGTGTTTAAAACAAATCTTTACAACTGTACAATAAAATATTTATGTCTTGAAGCATGAAAGATTGGAACTTCCTTTGTTTTTGAAATAGGTTTAAAATATCAGCCATGATATGGTAATTATAAAAATAATTATTGATTATCATGATATTTTAATGAATATTAATAGCAAAACCATTGTATTTTCACGCACTTGTACGGAATAGAAAACATCCAAAATACACATTTAAGTGTTTATTTTATTGGACTTTATCATTTTACGTCTGTTGATTACAATACATATTTTTACAAAATTATTTTTTCCTCCACTTCAGTAAAACTTATAAACACCAAAACTTACAGTTTTATTCCTGTCTATATTCTGAAGGTTTTTACTGAAGGGTTTGTTTTTATATCATTCAACCTGATTTATGCAACATGTTATGCCTAAAAACAGAATGATAAAACAGAAATAAAAAATCTAAAAACCTTTAACTGTAATATGTCAACAAAATCAAACAAGTTTGAACCTGTCTTTATCCAATTGATCAGATTTCAGTTCTATAAATGTATGCAAATTAGTGCATATTTAATTAAAAGGTTTCATTTGCATATTTATACCGGCCGTAAACATAAAAAAAAAACTGTCAACAAAAGAATTGTGCTAATGTAGTGATGAATCGATCGGGTTACATTTCTCCCCAGATTTACCTGTAAGTCTGGCCTTAAACCGGCTCGTGATGCACTGGGCCGTGAAGGTCAGAGAGTAAACGGACACAAGACTCGCTTTATTATCATTATCTGCCATCTGTTGTTGGCCGGAGCCGGAGAACAGCGAGGTCACGAGGACAGCCGTCTCCGGCCCGTTAAAACACACTCGCTCTCCCTTCATCATGCAGAACATCATCCATTAGTCTAGTCTGCATATTAAAAGAGTGTTAGAATTAGGGATGTGCACGGAAAACATAACTATTTTTATTGATATAATGGTAACAATTTACAATAATGTTCATTAGTTAACATGAACTAAGAGTGAGCAATACTTCAGCATTTAAAAATCTAAGTTAATATTAATTTCAACATTTACTAAAACATTGTTAAAATCAAAGGTTGCATCAGTTAATGCACTGTGAACTAACATGAACACACAGCTGTATTTTTATTAACAAACATTAACAAAATATTAATAAATACTGTATGTATTCCTCATTGCTAGTTCATGTTAGTTAATAGAATAATTAATGCTCACTAATGAACCTTATTGTAAAGTGTAACCGATTTAATTAAGAAAGGTAGGAATAGTTAAGTGTACAACCGTCAGTTCCTGTTATTCCACCCGTCGTTCCGCAGTGTTTTGTCCAGAACTCCAGGAGGACGCTCGGGATCCGGGCAGACAGATGGGACACGGGATCGGGAAGCTTCTGATGCCAGGAGCCCGCTGACTAAACCACACGATCCTCCTCGTCACACGACGGCTCATAAAGCACAGGCAACATCCAACACACGCACACACAGCTTGGGGAACAGTTATAGCCACAAATGACAAAAAAAAACAAAAAAAAACATGGTTTGGTTGTATTTATGACATAAAAAGTCGAAATGATGACACACTAAGTAAAAAAAAAGTAAGTGATACGTATTGTAATAAATATTGGAGAACAAATGATTATGAATTCTTCTGATAAATCTTCTGATAATTTCCCAAGAAACGGTATATAGCCTATTAAAGTTGAATGTGACGGATGGAGATGACCCAGAAATAAGTTAATGATTTTTATGGACGATCTTATAGTTGAACATCCGGGGGGACAACGCGAAGACAACTATAGGAAATATAATAATAGGCTACACATTGCAGTTTTATGGTTGAAAATTAAATAAACTGTTCAAATGAGGATGAAGTGTTGAATTTGCAGGACAAGCTCAAATTACTTAAAGCATAAATTGAGCTTGAACTGCCAACTTAAGGCTCTTTGAGGTGTTATCTGTGTGTGTATGTGTGTGTGTGCGACATGTTTAGATTGTTAGGGTCGCATGTATTGTTAAAGGGGAACTGTGAACCTCGTTCGCCCCAGACACAGAACATGTGTGAAACTAGAGAAAGGTCAAAAGAGCTGCGACAGAAAACTTACCATATAAAGCTTTTGTGTTTGTGCTGCAGTATAGGTGTGAAAAAGGAAATAGATATTTTGAATATGTGCTTCTGCATGCGTATGTTAATAAAGGACTAGTCCAGAGTTGTACCTTATAAGGGAATTAGCTGTACTATAGTGACGGCTGATAGTTAGAAGGCGGCCCAGAACAGGGTCAGTATAAAAGACCTGGGAGAGGTTTGTTCGGGGCCGCAATTCGGGTGAAGACTTTGGTATTATTCTGAATCTTTTTTTAATAAAACGAAATCATGTTGTGGTGATTCGTAATACTTTTTAAACAAGTCTAGGAGTAATTTTTCCCTGTCAATATTTCATGATTTTTTGTAATGAGTATTAATACTGGCACCCGCACCCAGGGTTGAGCTGGAGCTCCGCCGAGGCCCCGATCGACATCCTACATCTGTGACCTACAGGTACGGCCAACATCTGATTGCAGTGGATTATGGGAGTGTTTTAGGAGGATCTAGAGGTTACAGCGGGATGGAAATACAACAGTATACATGGAAGATGGTTTCCGCCATGAAAAATGAAGATAAATATACTTTTAGTAATTGCGTATTTTTATCTCACAATTGCGAGTTTACATTTGCGTGATATAAAGTCGCAAATGCGAGTTATAAAGACAAAATTACGTGATGTACTGTAAAGTCTCAATTGCGAGTTATAAAGTCAGATTTGTGAGTTATAAAGTCATAATTGCAAGTTAAAAAATCATTATTGTGTGATATAGTCAGAATTGTGTGATATAAAGTCATAATTGTGATATAAAGTCGTAGATGCGAAATATAAAGACATAATTGTGTGATATAGTCATAATTGTTTGATATTAAGTCATAATTATGTGATATAAAGTCATAATTGTGTGATATAAAGTAAGAATTGCGAGTTATAGTCATAATTGCGAGTTATAGTCATAATTGTGTGATTTAAAGTCATAATTATGTGATATAAAGTCATAATTGTGTGATATAGTCATAATTGTGTTATAAAGTCATAGTCATAATAGCATGAGATAAAGTCATAATTGCGTGAAAAAGTCATAATTGCTAGTTATAAAGTCATAATTGCGAGTTATAGAGTCATTGCTAGTTATAAAGTCATAATTGCGAGTTATAGAGTCATAATTGCTAGTTATAAAGTCATAATTGCGAGTTGTAAAGTCATAATTGCGAGTTGTAAAGTCATAATTGCGAGTTATAAAGTCATAATTGCGAGTTGTAAAGTCATAATTGCGAGTTATAGAGTCATAATTGCTAGTTATAAAGTCATAATTGCGAGTTATAGAGTCATAATTGCTAGTTATAAAGTCATAATTGCGAGTTATAGAGTCATAATTGCTAGTTATAAAGTCATAATTGCTAGTTATAAAGTCATAATTGCGAGTTATAAAGTCATTATTGCGAGTTATAAAGTCATAATTGCGAGTTGTAAAGTCATAATTGCGAGTTATAAAGTCATTATTGCGAGTTATAAAGTCATAATTGCGAGTTGTAAAGTCATAATTGCGAGTTATAAAGTCATAATTGCGAGTTATAAAGTCATAATTGCGAGTTATAAAGTCATAATTGCGAGTTATAAAGTCATAATTGCGAGTTATAAAGTCATAATTGCGAGTTGTAAAGTCATAATTTTTTTGAGCACTTCTTGCGTTGCTTTTGCCTCTTCACGATGACTCGCTTGGTTTAGTCCTCAGTTGTAAGTCGCTTTGGATAAAAGCGTCTGCTAAATGACTAAATGATCTGCTAAATGACTAAATGATAATTGCGAGTTATAAAGTCATAATTGCGAGTTATAAAGTCATAATTGCGAGTTATAAAGTCATAATTGCGAGTTGTAAACTCATAATTGCGAGATATAAAGTTAAACCACACACGCTGTATCTCCTGATCATAAAGCACAGGGAACATCCGACACACGGAGACACAGCCTGGGGAAAATATACAATTTAATCAAAGGTATAAAGTAGTTTGTAGCTCGTTACAGTTGATAACAGTGGCATGTCCCAAAGTCTTCATGAATCTGATATGAACCCCAATCTCATTTATTCAGCTATTCAAGATTATATTTCTTTGGAAGCTCATTTAAAAGAAAAGAAAAAAACATGGTTTGGAGTAACTATGACATAAAAAGTTGAAATTATGACAATAAAAAGTAAATTATGACATACTAAGTCATACACAAATATATAGTCATATACAAATATATATGGAAGCTTGTTTCCGCCACACAATGAAAAATAAAAAGGTAATTGTGACTTTTATCTCAGAATTGCGAGTTATAAAGTCATAATTTAGTGACATAAAGTCGTAATTGTGAGTTATAAAGGCAGAATTGTGTGATTTTAAGACATTTTTTCTCAGAATTCCGTGTTTATATCTCGCAATTCTGACTTTATAACACAATTGCAACTTTAAATCACGCAATTCTGACTTTATATCACGCAATTCTGACTTTATATCACGCAATTGGGTGATATAAAGTCAGAATTGCGTGATATAAACTTGCAATTGTGAGATAAAAAGTTGCAATTATCTTTTAAAATGTGGCGGAAACAAGCTTCCATACATATATGACTAAATCATAATCACATAAACAATTTTGCATGCAAAATAAACTTCTTTTTTTCAATGTTGTTGGCCGCACTCGCACTCCTCCATCCAGACTGAACCTCTCGCCACTTCAGGCTCGTGGCGTCTCAGGGCTTTACTTGGTTTGGTGTCGCTGCCGGGATCTCTGAACAATATTCATGCAGTTATTGTTTCCGATCTGAACTCCAAACACGTTGGACATGTTGATGTGGACGCCTAAAAGAGAAGCAGAAGAACGAGCGAGTGAGTCAAGCTTTCAGTTCCTGATTATTACTGATGTTTCACTTTGAAAGCTCTCTTGTCTTAAGTAACTTAAGTATTTTGGTAGCCAATATATGTGGCTGTAAAACTATATACAGTATTTATATATATTTGGCCTGTTTAAACCTGATCACTTCATGCGTTTTCATATTCATAGAGCCGGGCATACTAAATGAGGCGAGGGTGTCGAGCTTTTCAAGCTATTTTAAAGGGGAACTTGGCAACTAGTCATTTCTTTGCTGATTTTCACTTTTGTTGTGGCATGTTTTCTCATCAGCGCCCCCTACAGTTGTGCGGCGTATATTTCACAACACTGTCGTAAAAAAAAACTCACTTGCGGCGCCTCCTGCCCCGTTCTACCGCTGCTCATGTGCATGTGTTATTATCGGAGCCGGCCAACTCTATCGTGTGGAGCTGTGTCTACCGAGTGGGTAACACATCATACACAGGATCACAGAATTATGTCGAAATGCCATAAATGTGTTTCTCGCTCGTTCTCGCTTCTCACAAGACTTCCTATTTCCAACGTACCGGGACGTTAGTCCACATGTTGCAAGGATGGTTTTCCGGCTGTGAACGCTGGGGGGAGCAGGGAAGTCACTATTTTCACCAGAACAGGTTATTTAACCATCCAATTGATTTCTAAATGGTTGTATTAAAGGACAACTCCGGTGCAAAATGAACCTCGGGTGTAATAACACATTGGTACAGACTAAATCGTTCCCTGAGATTTGTTTTCATGATAATCGAATGTAAAGAGTTTTATCTCTAAAAACAGTTTAGCTTATAACGCTAGTATATTGGGCATCGAGTAAGCAAAAAGAGATCGCTAGTTAATACCATTAACAAGGCTCAAATTAGCCCCACACTAACACGGCAGCATAATGAGTGTCCTTACATGCAAACCGAAGCATTGAGAACTTTGTAAGTGTATAGACAGTTTAATAAGAAGATACTTTACACAGACAGTACAGTTAGCGCATACAGACAGGAGCCATCTTGGAAAACAGCCTCGATCAGTCAAACCACGAACACGGTGATACGTGAGCTGAACTGTGACTTGGAATCTCATATGGTCCGTTGTTTCCGGAAGAAAGCACTGAGCGCATAAGAGAAGCACTGAACGCAACAGAGAAAATAAAAAAATAAATATAATTTATCTTATCTTCAATATCTACACGTACTGTTCGCTCACCTTCGTGGTTTGACTGATCGAGACTGTTTTCCAAGATGGCTGCTGTCTGTATGTGCTAACTGTACTGTCTGTGTAAAGTATCTTCTTATTAAACTGTCTATACACTTACAAAGTTCTCAATGCTTCGGTTTGCATGTAAGGACACTCATTATGCTGCCGTGTTAGTGTGGGGCTAATTTGAGCCTTGTTAATGGTATTAACTAGCGATCTCTTTTTGCTTACTCGATGCCCAATATACTAGCGTTATAAGCTAAACTGTTTTTAGAGATAAAACTCTTTACATTCGATTATCATGAAAACAAATCTCAGGGAACGATTTAGTCTGTACCAATGTGTTATTACACCCGAGGTTCATTTTGCACCGGAGTTGTCCTTTAAGTTGAAATAGTTGCCAAGTGCCCCTTTAAGGCATGAAAAAAAAAAATTAAACAAAAAAAACATTTAAATATGTCATTTTGGCGATCAAAGATGAGTTTTAAGGGATACAATTATTGACTACAAGGGGACTTTATAAGATAAACGTGTGAGAGTGTGTTATATGACATGCATTACAGTATAACATCAGCGAGACGAAGTGATCTTACCGGTGCTGATGCCGCTGTCTCTCCGACTGCGCTCTTTGATGTTGAAATTACCTGATAATAAATAAATGCAGCTCATATCTCTTGCTTTCACTGATGTGAACTCAGATTTCAGATATCCGATCAGTACAAACACATGATGAAGTGGCCAGGTGTGATGAAAAGGCCCTATAGTATGTGAAGAGAAAACTAGAACATTTATTCATGCTGCAATGCATGCTGGGAACTCACAACCCCTAAACATGTTCACTATGTAATGCTTTGTTCAACATTCGGTGATTCTGTAGGGATAACATGTTAAAGTGCCATACTAACTTTCCTTAGTATGTGTGACTCAAAAGGTCCCCATTTTACGTTGTGTTTTTTAGAATTTTTTACTTCACCGGAATGGTACGAAACTTGGTAAAGGTGTTGGCACTTGCTGTGTGAACACACAAAATCATGGACATGATTTGAAAAGGTTAAATGGTCCTGAATATAACAGTCACACTTGTGTTTCTGGCGGTCAGAAACGAGCGCATTGGAAATGAATGGAGAGTTTCCTCTAGTGGAAGCGTGTGGAACTGCAGCCGAACAACATCTCAACTTGTGGAACACAACTTGTTTAGATTTATGGCTTTGATTTTCTTGCATTTTAAGAGGAAAACGTGATTGAAATTGAAAATAGTATTTTTGCACATTTTTCATAACAATAAACGTACAATTCTGTAACTTTTTTTTAAGTTCACTTTTCAAACTGTTTTCACTTGAGCAATAATCTGCCGAGTGTCGTCTTTGAAAAGAGATCAAACTCTAAATTCTAAAGCTCTAAAGCGTTACAGATTCTCCACAGTTTAAGCTGGAGATAAAATTTTCAGGTCTATGCTCAAAAAGTCAATAAATGGATTATAAATACAGCGTAAATATAATTAAGTATAAAAAAATCCCCTAATAATACAAAATATTAACATTATCAAACTAAAATATATTACATTAATTTCATTGACAAGAACATAATAATTCTGTCATTTTTGACCGACACGCGAAGAGCACCAGAGGGTTACACTGGAAAATATACATAATAATAATTGTTTACGGTGACGTCCTGAGAAATGCAGCATGTGTACGGATCTCTGCATGAGTTTCAAGTGGCGTTCAATTACACTTTCTCAAGAAATATTGCACCTCCTGAGTAAACTTGCAGAAAACTGACCTGGTGTGGATGTCTGACGCTGTAAGAAACAAACACACAACACACACGTGAGACGGTCAGTCGTATTAATGTTAGTTAGTGAGTTTGATTGGTGTGGTTTCAGACCTGTGTTGTTCTGGGAGGCGTCAGAGGCGCACTGGGACGAGCAAACACGTCTACAACACACACACAAATGCATTCAGCAACAAACTAATCATGCTAATCATCACAATGCATTCTTTATTTTGGTTCACATTACCTCTGTGTCCGGGGTTTGTGTCACTGGCTCCCGTTTCCTGAGGACAGAGACACCGCCTGCAGTTTAGCCAAGCTTATTTACATGTTTACAATTACTTTCATTTATCTCTTACTTTCCCACTGAAAACTGTTTGAGATATTTTAACGAGGGATGCAGCGAACCGAGAAAGCTCATGCACTCATCATCGTTTAGAAGAACAAGAACTGGAGTGTCGACAGAGAATTTAATGTTAATATACTGTATATATACACTCACCGGCCACTTTATTAGGTACACCTGTCCAACTGCTCGTTAACACTTAATTTCTAAGCAGCCAATCACATGGCGGCAACTCAGTGCATTTAGGCATGTAGACATGGTCAAGACAATCTCCTGCAGTTCAAACCGAGCATCAGTATGGGGAAGAAAGGTGATTTGAGTGACTTTGAACGTGGCATGATTGTTGGTGCCAGAAGGGCTGGTCTGAGTATTTCAGAAACTGCTAATCTACTGGGATTTTCACGCACAACCATCTCTAGGGTTTACAGAGAATGGTCCGAAAAAGAAAAAACATCCAGTGAGCGGCAGTTCTGTGGGCGGAAATGCCTTGTTGATGCCAGAGGTCAGAGGAGAATGGCCAGACTGGTTCGAGCTGATAGAAGGGCAACAGTGACTGAAATAACCACTCGTTACAACCGAGGTATGCAGCAAAGCATTTGTGAAGCCACAACACGCACAACCTTGAGGCGGATGGGCTACAACAGCAGAAGACCCCACCGGGTACCACTCATCTCCACTACAAATAGGAAAAAGAGGCTACAATTTGCAAGAGCTCACCAAAATTGAACAGTTGAAGACTGGAAAAATGTTGCCTGGTCTGATGAGTCTCGATTTCTGTTGAGACATTCAGATGGTAGAGTCAGAATTTGGCGTAAACAGAATGAGAACATGGAACCATCATGCCTTGTTACCACTGTGCAGGCTGGTGGTGGTGGTGTAATGGTGTGGGGGATGTTTTCCTGGCACACTTTAGGCCCCTTAGTGCCAATTGGGCATCGTTTAAATGCCACGGCCTACCTGAGCATTGTTTCTGACCATGTCCATCCCTTTATGGCCACCATGTACCCATCCTCTGATGGCTACTTCCACCATGTCACAAAGCTCTAATCATTTCAAATTGGTTTCTTGAACATGACATCGAGTTCACTGTACTAAAATGGCCTCCACAGTCACCAGATCTCAACCCAATAGAGCATCTTTGGGATGTGGTGGAACGGGAGATTCGCATCATGGATGTGCAGCCGACAAATCTGCGGCAACTGTGTGATGCCATCATGTCAATATGGACCAAACTCCCTGAGGAATGCTTCCAGCACCTTGTTGAATCTATGCCACGAAGAATTGAGGCAGTTCTGAAGGCAAAAGGGGGTCCAACCCGTTACTAGCATGGGGTACCTAATAAAGTGGCCGGTGAGTGTATATTAGGGGTGGAACGGTACACAGAAGTTACGGTTCGGTTCATACCTCGGTTCAGACGTCACGGTTCGGTATGATTTCGGTACAATGGAGTGAAAAGCAAAACAAAAATGCAGAAGGCATTTTTATAAATGTCTTAAGCCTTGTATTTTTTAAATAAGTTTTATTAATAAAGCCATAGAACCAGTTTATTTGTAGTGCACTGACAATAATAAAAAGATGAAAAGACCTTGAGATATGTTTGGTAATTGTACCTGAATGAATTTAAAATTAATTTACTATTTCAGATCAATATATTTGTTTTCCTTCATTTTAGTTAACCCTAACTTTATTCTCATCTAAATTATAAATAGTTGATTTCCGTATAAAATAATACTACCATTCAAAACTTTTGTTAACAGTTGTAGGTTACAGTTCGACAAGAGTTTAGAGTGTGACAAAAGCACAATGTAGTGTTTTATTGCGAGTGTACACAAATATAAGTAACAATTTGCAGTTTTAATGATGTCCTGTTAAAAAAAAATGACGGAGTATGTTTTTATGTTTCCACTGTTCGATCGCGCATGAGAGATTATTATCTCTCTCGCACGCGCCCGCGCGCACACACACACACACTGTTCGATCGCGCGATTCGCGCCCGCGCCTGCCTCTCTCTCTCTCTCTCTCTCTCTCTCTCTCTCTCTCTCTCTCTCTCTCTCTCTCTCTCTCTCTCTCTCTCTCTCTCTCTCTCTCTCTCTCTCTCTCTCTCTCTCTCTCTCTCTCTCTCTCTCTCTCACACACACACACACACACACACACACACACACTCCAGCACTGCAATCTTGATCACAGTCTTGATCGCAGCCTGCGTTCACAGTCACACCAAAAGCGAATAAAGCGAAATTTATCGCTATTTAAGAGTTTTTTTTTTTTTTTGTACCGTGTATTCTCCGTGCAAATTCGTGCACCGAACCGTGACGCCCGTACGTTTCGGTTCGATACGAATACATGTACCGTTCCACCCCTAATATATATATATATATATATATATATATATATATATATATATATATATAGTAATTCATTTAAATAACATCATAGCATTTTGATCAAATAAAATTAATAACTTAAATATTAATAATAATTTTATAAAATAATTGATTAATTTAATAAATAATTTAATGTAAAATTAGATAAGAAATATATACATAATATAATATTTTACCCCCTCCAAAATCCTACCCTATACCTCAATGTGGCGGAGGGGTGGCGATGATGCACAGCGGGGATTCAACCCCCCCAGAAGGATCAACCAAGCTGAGAAGAAGACAGACTTCCGGCTGGCATAGTCGGGCCCAGCTAAATAGGGAGGCCCAGCAAGCCATGGACCGGACAAAAGAGAAACTCAAGCTACTACCGGCGGCAGAGCGACCCGGCCACGGGCGAGGGGCTGCTGAGAATCACAGGTAGAAGGCCGCCTTCTGGAAACCGGCCATGGAACAACAACACCAAAATCTACATCGGCACCTACAACGCCAGGACAATATCCTGGGAAGCGGATCTGGCTACCATCATCGCCGAGAAAGACAACATCCATTGCGACATCCTGGGCCTGTGCGAGAGCCCATGCACATTTGATGGGAAGACGGGTCAGCGGAGGCACTGGGAGCCGGCGAAGGGGACAGGACGGTCGGTGGCGTCGGCTTCATCGTCTCAGAGAACTATGAGATCTATGATCTAGACTCTAGAGATCTATGACCATGATGGTCATAGAAGAAGTGAAGGAGCAGTACCCCCCAATTATGGTGGGGTAATTCGCACTCTGATCTCCAGACGATGGGCGACGTGACCAACCCACGAGTCAGCGTGGTTATCCTGGCACTGACCAACAAGACGACCATCCGCATCGTGCAGGTATATGCGCCGACCACAGCAGCCGAGGACGACGAGATCGAGCAATTCTACGAGGACGTCGAAGCAGCCATCGCCCCCCGTCGGCTCGACAAAGAGAAGTTCGTTGGCCCCTGCGGCAGCGGCGACTGGAACGACCGAGGCGAGCGGCTGGCAGCCATGGCCGAGTCCAGTCGCCTCTACATCGGCAACAGCTTCTTCCAGAAGCGTCTCGGCCGTCGCTGGATGTGGCTGTGGCCAAACGGCACGCGTTCTGCACAGGCAGCGACCACCGACTGCTGCTTGCCAAACGGACTATCGACTCCAGGGTGGAGAAGTGCGCACTGGCAGCCAGCAACCAGGCACAACGGCAGACAGCCATTGACCCGATCTGACCCGAGACTTGACCCGAGACTGATGACGACATCACGAGCGGCTGGGACCAGTTCACAGAACGGCTGTGAAAGGCGAGCGATGTTGCTACAAAGCCACGCACAAAAGATCAGACCAGCCGAATATCGGACAACACCAAAGCCCTCCTGCTGAAAAGGCGGCAAATGATATCGGACGGCGCAGACCATGTGCAATACGGTCTGCTGTGCAAGCTGGTCAGGGCGTGGCTCAAAACAGACCTGGAGCAGTACAAGCGCAGCCGCCTGCTAGTGGCAGCCGAGCAGAAGAGGAGTGTAAAGAAGTGCAGCCGGCTGATGCAGCTGAAGCGCGTTCAGGTGCCGGTGCTAAAAACACCAGACGGACGGACGACAAGAACCCGGCTGGGCATCGAGGCTGAGTGCAGCCGTTTCTACACGGACCTGTTTGCCAGCAAGATGCATGTCGACCCGCCCGAAATGCAGCACGACGCCATACCAGCCATCCCGTCAGTGCTGACCAGTGAGGTCAGGCATGTGATCCAGAACATCCAGAAAGACCGGGCGCCAGGGCTGGACGGAATTGAGGCCGAGCTGCTCAAGGAGGGCCGGCCGCCGCTTTGGGCAGCATTGGCCAACCGGCTGAAGGGTGACCGCGAACAGCTGAGCAATTATCGGCCCATCTGGCTCCTGCCGACCACGTATAAGGTCTTCACCAGGGTGCTGTACAACCGACTAGCCAGGCAGTCGGGCAAACAACAGCCACCCGAACAGGCCGGCTTCCGGTCTAGCTACAGCACGATGGACGACACACACGTGCTGAATCAACTGCTCGAACGCTGCCGGGAGTTCAAGATCCCCTTGGTGCTGGCCTTCGTAGATTACGAGAAGGCCTTCGACAGCGTGGAGATCAACGCCGTACTGTTCGCCGTCCAACAACAGGGCGACGCCGACGAGTACGTGGCCCTTTTGCAGGAGCTGAAGAGTGGATGCGCCAACAACATCACCCTGTTCGACCGGCCACTGTACATCCCTGTCGCCAGTGGTGTCAAGCAGGGCGACCCAAGCTGTTCACGGCGTGTCTGGAGCACGTCTTTCGACAGTTCGACTGGGACAACAACGGCATTAGCGTTAACGGCCAGTGGCTCAGCCATCTGCGCTTCGCCGACGACATCATCGTAATCGGCGAGTCAGCAGCCGACGTGCAGCTGCGACTCGACCAGGTCGGTGCAGCGGTCAGCCTGAAGATAAACCTGGCCAAGACAAAGTGGATGCGCAACCCCCAGGCCGGCAACAACAACATTCACATCGGCCAGGAGACGGAGCAGGTCGACAGCTACGTCTACCTCGG